GAGATTGAAACATTAACTGTAGATAACTAATTGTTTTCCCTTGGGTTAAGAAGGAATCTGCAGAAACCTAAATATTCATACTGTATTATCGTGACCCTATTAAAAACTGCATTCAATAGGTCATACATTCATACTGTGCCTTTGACTTTCATGGATTGTCACTGAAAGAAAGTGTTGTACATGCTTGTGCTTACATTACTGTTATCACGCAGCTCAGGCAAGACATTTCTCTTGGAATCTGATGAAAACCTTTGTTTCTATTGACAAATTTGTAAAATATCTTCTCAAAGACAATGAAAATCAAGCAACTTAATTTATGGTTAACTCTCATATTTCATATAATACATTGTAACCTACATATTTTGGTTCTTTTTCTTTAGTTTTGACCTCTTGGTCTTATTAGTTTCACTGGTCCTCATTTTTATATGCACATTTTCCTTATTATATGTATTTAACTTAAGCTTTCTCAAATCATACATTTATTGATCCTTTCTTCGTTTTTAAAGATGATTAGAGAACCTATTACATTTTGGTTCTACTTATGGGGTTATGTGATTTTGAGTTTTCTGTGCTCTTGTTCTGGTCTATCATGAATAGATTGTAATTTTGGGGGGACAAGGACTTTTATGGTGGTCCTACAGTGTCTGGCATGCAGTGTAGGACTTCCTCTCTATGTAATGCTACCTGTTGTATCATGTTCTGTTTTGCGTAGTACAGAATGATGATAACAGCAGAAAAAAAATACTATTTTTATTTCAACTCTCTGGAGAAAAAGGATTTTTATCCACAACTCTTGCAAAGCTTGTCAAAAACAATAACACAAACACACACAAAACCCAAAAGATCTATGTGTTAGGTAACTGGGTAGTCAACATTTTCTCTAGTGATCAGGAGGGAGAAAGTAGCTCTGCTGCTTTAAACCTCTAATTAATTTAGTTTCATTTATCTGTCTATGAATTATTAATACTATGGACACAGGCTTCCTAAACTATGTACTATGAGGGAGACCACATAAGCCGTCAAAAGGACTAATGCCTCTACAAAATCTTTACAAAGGAGAATCTGTAAAAACTCTGTCTAAGTTCATGCAGGTGCACAAGTCTGTGTACTTCTTAGATGTGGCAAAATGTAATCTAAGTCCACATTTATTGTTTGAATTCGCCAAGTTTTCTATGAAGAAAATGTTTTTTTTTTTTTTTTTTTTTTGGCGTAAAGGTACGAGGCAAGCTGTTGGACACACTTTCTTGACAACTCAGATCCCTGGCTCAGGGTACTGTTTAATGGCTCTGTCCACAGGGCATGCTCACTGCTTCATTTCTAAGGTTAATCACTTGCACTTAATTTCAAGTCATTTTTTTCACTTTGAAAATTCTGAATGCCTCATTGAGGACGGTAAGTACAATGTGTACCAAGCCTCTGGTTTCAAAGTTCAGCTGTCTTTGAGTTATTTGACTAGACAAAAGGTCGAAAGATATCTTTCACAGCAGGGAAAGTGTAATTTTCCATGTCTTTTTGAAATAATTGAAGTGACTTTTCCCAAAAATTTCCATAAATAAATAAATTTTACCAGTGGGACAACTTAATTTTGAGATGCCTCGGCAAAAATTTCAAAAGTAACCCTTTTCCCCTCCTCTGTAATCTAGTCTCCAGCCTCACTCTTAGTATGTACCCAATGCTTGAAGGACCAGGAGGGAATCCCAGGTTAAAATCAAATATTTCACATTTAGATTAATGATATGAAAAGTTTTAGCCTCTAAAAAGTCTCTAAATTTGTGAGATTACAACACATACCTCACCTCTGTTATTTAATATTAAGTTGTTTCAGCAAACACTGGGAGAAGAGCTCTGGTGTCTGAGGCCATGCTTTTCAAATCTCTGTTGGCCCTGCCATAATTTCCTTATTGTATTTCATATCACTTATCCATGTACCTTCCAGCAGATTCTCCTTGTGATGCACATGATTTCTGGGCTCCCACGTAAGGACAACTGTTTATCCTCCAAATCTACCAGGCAATTCTGCACACTGCCTTAAACTTCTTGCAAAATCTACCTAGTCAGTTATATTTATAGTTTAGTGTTAGTGTATATTTTTGTGTACTTTGCTCAAAGTTCTTCAGTGTAGATATGAACCTACCAGAGGTAGGTTAGCTCCCCCAATGGCAAATAGCAATAAAGCATGTGTGGGAGCGTATTATACACCTAAGTCTTGTCCTCCCCTTCCTGCCCATTCACTTGCCCACAGGACTAACTTCTTTTTATGACCTTCAACAAATGGCAGGGTTTTTTTAGGGTAGGAGGCAGAGGTTTTAAGATTCTGTTTAAGGTCTTTGATGCACTATTCCTATTCTTTTAACAGGTCTGTCCAGTATGTACCTCTGGCTCATCTCCTAGACTATTTGTGCTTAACAATCACTAGGAGTGGTCTAAATTTTTTTCATAATTGCTTAATATTTTTATGAGACTCTTCTTTGAACTATGCAAGTATGTTCATGATCATTTCCCTGCCTTGTTGCCTTTTGTTTTACTATCACTACCTTCCAGAGCCTGTTTGGCAAAAGTCTATTTCCATAGCCTACTCCATGAACCAGTCTGTATACCCAATTCCTACAGGTCCCTGGGAAACCTTAAAGTGCTTGGTTGCTGACCCCTCCTTCTATACTGCAGCCCATCAGCCACCTCTCATTTCCCAAGGCTTCCATCTGTCCATCAATTCCTTCTCTAGTCCATCCATCGCCTCCTCTTCTCCCTTGGGCAAGTGTGTCGAGTTGTCCCTCCAAGACTCTAAGTCTCTAGTCACGCCAAAGTATCTTGCCAGCTTCACTCATGACCTAGAGCGAAGGAAGTATCTGTGGATGGTTCCCCGTAGAACCCCTACTCTTGGGCCTCGACTGCGGGACGTGGGTCTGTCCTGCGTCCGTCAGTCCCCAGCTTGCCTCTAATTCGGCAGGAACTTTACTCCGGAGGGGAGGAGAGGAATGGTAGAGTGGGTGCGGTCCAGAACAGAGACTGGCGGGCGCGGGCCCCCGAGGGG